AGAATTACACCATTTGTATGATTGTCTTGTTTTTCCTCAAAATGGGGAGAGGCCCCACACCGATGAAGCTTCAGGAAGTGACCTTGATGGGGACCTCTACTTTGTCACGTGGGAAGAAAATCTCATTCCACCAAGTAAGAAGAGCTGGACTCCCATGCAGTATGACCCAGCAGAAGAGAAAAGGCTGCCTCGTGATGTTACGCAGAAGGTAATTGTCATTTAGCAGTGGTTTTTTACAAGCATTTAGGCTTTGTCAAATTGGAACAACTTCAATTTAGGAAGGGTGTGCCTTGGCATTTGAACCAGTGACGGATATTTTTATTATGCTTAAATTAACATAGCGGTGAATTGCAATGCATCTTTTGCTCTTAGTTTTATTTTATTTTCATATAATTGGCGGACTATTGAATCTTAAGAGGCTTGTTGCAGAGGTCCTTCATATGAATAGATAAAGAAAGCACTAGTCTGTGTGCATGAACATATTTTCGCTTACCGTGGTCATTTTCTTTCTGCCACCTTATCCGACCAAGCTGAATAGTGCATGATAGATCTTCCCCCGTTCTGGTTCGTTTCTAGAAGATGCTTGTAATTTGGAAGTTCCCGTTGGTTTGATCTGAGGAGTAGCAAAAGCATCTTTAAAACCAGTCTTCCGATGAGTTTTCTTTGGACACTATAAACTTACTACAACATGCACTCAGTATAGTTAATTTAAGACACAGCATCAGCATTTTTGTGCCACACCAGGCAGTCAGATATTTAGTGAGAGATGTTTAAAGTTCTTTATTAGCATTTGATAGGCATGATCTCTAAGTTTGCTGCAGAAAGACTCCCAGTTTCTCATGATGTGGCTCAATTCTGCAGGATATCATAGAGTTCTTTGTTAAGCACATTGTGAATGAGAACCTGGGGGCAATCTGCAATGCGCACGTGGTTCATGCTGACCGTAGCGAACATGGGGCTCTGGATGAGAACTGCATTCATTTGGCTGAGTTGGCTGCCACTGCTGTTGATTTTCCCAAGACTGGAAAGATTGTCACTATGCCTCGCCATCTGAAACCAAAACAGTACCCAGATTTCATGGGGAAAGAGGAATACCAAACCTACAAATCAACCAAAATCTTGGGCAGACTCTACCGTCAGATTAAAGATGCTTATGATGAGGGTTTGAATTCCTCTGAACCGAATTGTGACCCTAAGAATATTCCCTATGATACAAGTCTCGAGGTCCCGGGTGCTGCAGATTTCATTTCCAAAGCGTGGAACCATAAGTGCTCCTATGACGGGCAGCTGAGTGGGCTCCTGGGCCAGTACAAAGTGAACAATGAAGAAGAGTTGGTGACCGGTCATGTTTGGTCCATGCCTAAGTATGCAAGCCGCAAGCAAGGGGACCTGAAGGAGAGACTTAAGCACTCGTACACTGCATTGAGGAAAGAATTTCGAGATATATTTGAAACGTTGGATTCGGATTCCGAGTCATTGAGTGATGAAGAGAGGAATTTGCTGTATGAGCAAAAGGCATCTGCTTGGTACCAGGTCACCTACCATCCAGAATGGGTGAAGAAGTCGGTGGACTTGCATGAGCATGATGATGGAGGTATGAGCGCCTTGAAGTTAAGTTTTGCTTGGATTGCTGCTGACTTCCTTGCTCGGATAAAGATTCGCAATCAAAAAGGTGGGAATCTTGACTCGGCCAAGCCCATAAACTCTCTTTCCAAGTACATCGCGGATCGTATTTGAAAGCAGCGATCGGCTGCTTAAGATCCATGGCTGGGTCTTTGCGAAGGACATCTTGGTTGCAAGTCCACTCTGCCAATTATAGTGGGTATCCATTTTATACTTCAAATTGTCTGTACTGTGTTTATCAAGTATGAAGAGTTCTGGAAATTTAGGACATTGGAATGAACTTTTTTGGAATGTGTGTAGATATGCAAACTGTGCTACCGATGGTTGAAATGCAGTAGTCCTGAGCTCTGTGAACTCAATTGAACTCTGATTTTGATGATTCAATTCCCGAATATCTCGCAGATGAAGTTTGATGACACTTCCTTAGTCTGCCGAAAGAAGCTTGTACAGCTGGCTATACATGTATTCACTTCTTATAATTAGATGCCTTAAGTATCACTTTGAAAAACATCAATCAATCGATTTGATCCTCAAGTACAAAGGAAAAATCTTGGGATTTGCTAGAGCTGAAGTTTGATTATTTTGTCGAGTGACATGGACATCAAGCATAATAAAAATAAAACAGTTATGTAGATGAAAGGTCTGAAGTTTGGTAATTTTGGTGAATAACATCCAACATAAACCCACATTCTTGAAATTGAATAAATATGCCACTTCTACTTGGACATTAAAGATCAAGATGAGTTACACGCAGCACACATTTTTACATCATTCTTTTTCGAGATCTATTTAAGCCCCTTGCTATTTAAACATCTTTAATTACTTGATTATATATTTATATATAGCACATAGTATGAGGAGCCTAGACATCAAGAATATATTCATAACTTAGCCCTACATCCAACAAAAAAATGAGTGTCCTGGTATTCCGGTTAATGAAGTTATATTTTAAGAGTTCATGCTACGACAAGTTTCGAGTACGTTCCAAATTCTGAGATTTTGTACTGAATGAGATCACAAATAAGTCGAGAAACCCAGATTAAATCCGTTCCGTTGCCATTCACAGCAATAATGGTGGCACCTACGCTGCATGAAAGTCGTCCGATTTTTATTGTCACGATATCACCTATCTAATGAAATGACGTGACCTTTTTTTTTTTTTCATGTGTGTGTATATGTACATGTTCAAACCATACATTATGCCCTCACATAAAACTCGACACGCCCTCACGCATTGTCTCTCTTTCCCGTCCTAATCTCGGCTCTTTCGTTCCGGTCGGCGACGATGAAAACTCGGCCCGGGACGTAATCATCAATGTTTGATTCTTCTCCATTCGTTTATTTATTTTGTTTTAAATTTGGAATTTTCAGAGGATGAGGCTTATGTTCGTTATGTTTGATACGTAGTTTGGTGCTAAATCTAGTTTTGTTCCGTACATACAGTTCCGTTTTCTGCTGGACATCTCTTTTCCTTAGTCTTTGGTGTATACTTTCATATAATTTAGATGGCATTCTCCAATTTTCACTTAAATCAAGTCCTGCTACTCCTTTTTCTAGTAATGATTTTTCTACATATTGGAAAATCATTAATGGTTTTTATTTGTCAATTTTCCCAACGAAATGTCATTTTTATCCCCTCACAAAACAACCTTTTTCTTAACCTAATTGAAGGCCGTAAAAGGAATTGTGCTCTTCTTTCACTACTCCATCTACGCATTTCGCCACTCTGCGAAGAAAATTCTCACAGCCCCTGCCGTACTCCGTCTTGATAATTTTCACAGGCCGGAGATGTTCGCGGCCCCTAAATGTCTCTTGATCACTCTCCTCATTCTCCCAATCACTAATTCATTTCCTCTTTCTCTGTTCTTTCATAGTTTGACCATCCACGTGAACTCTTGATTCTACACACAAGACGTAACCAAAGTCTTCACTTGGATCATCGGTGTTCAGTTAGGAGGTAATCTTACTAAAGAAAGAGAGGCGAAACTCTGACAAGGGCCTCTGGAGCCTGTTCGTTTATATTGTAGTGACCGCAAGCTCCACCGATGCATTCCTCATTTCAACGTGCCGGTATCTGCACGCCCCATCCCTCCATTTCCTTTGCATTTTTTCTTCCTCAGGGAAAGATAATACTCTCCGAAAGTTTTACATTCTGGTGATCTCGATATCCGAACGAGAATCGAGATGAAGTATTTTAAGATCTTGCTTAGTACGCCCTTACGTAAGAGAGGGAATACCAAACTAAAAACTCAAATCAAAAGAAAAAACTGTTTAAAAAAAGGAGGAAAAGTTGGAAGAGTTAAAAAAAAAAAAAGAGAGAATCTTCTTGTTTGGCCATGAAAGTGGAAAGGGCATAGAAAACAAAGACCTTCTCAAGGAGGTTATGCAGCACTCCACAAGGAAACTGTGGGCCCATACAAGTTATCAAATACTTTTCCCAGGCTAAATATAATAATGGTCCCTCTACTATTGTTTCTGTTCAATTTTGATCCCGTACTTTATCTCGCGACTGATTAGATCCTTAAATGAATTTCAGATCAAAAATTACATGACACATTTCCATGTCCTGTCCAAATTTCCACGAAAAATGCCGACTAAGCACCGAAGACGAACACGTGGCCCTGATGTGGTATAGGCAAATAAAAATTTGAGGGTTAATTGCGGAATTCGTCCCGGTGCCGTGGTCCTGCTCGATTTGAGTCCCTGAAGTGATCTTCAGTCTTCAATTTAGGACAGTTTTTTTTATCCCATCCAAGTAAGTGCAATTGAAATAATTTTTACTAAGTGCTACAGATTAACATATGGCGCTGACATGTTACAATTGGTGCAAAAATTGAAGCGGTTATTGCTAAATATCATCACCACATGAGTATTACTTTCAAGAGATTTAGCCCATGTGGGCTGCGCGGAACGTTACAACTCGAGGCTAATTTATTTCTCTGATTTGGTTATTTTGTTATAAATGGGCAATAGTTAGGATAAATGCGCAAGCGGCTAGAAAAAGCAAGATTATTAAATACCGATAAGGAAAGCTTGGCCAGAACGATACATGTAATTTTTATCCCAAAATAAAGTGCGAGCAGCAGTTGAACATCGACAATAGTATAGGGATCATTTTTTTTTGTTTTTTGTATATCTCCGGTACGTAGTTAGTATTTACGTTCCCGTTTTGACAGAAATATAAAAAAGCAAAATTATGATCAAATTGTGATCAGATATTAGAGTGGGGATCAAAACTGTCACAAGATAAAAGTAGGGGGACCAAATTTGAATAGTGACAATAGTACATGGATCATTTCTGTAATTTCCCTCGTTTTTTTTCTTCATTTATACTCTTCCCTTTCATTTTTCCACTCTCACAGAACTCACACTCCCTCTCCTCGCACTCATCATCATCCACAGAGACGCGATTCCCGAGGTAATTACTAACTCTCGTGTCTGCTAGTTGATCTCTTTGCTTTGCTAGAAGCCCGCTGAAGGGAACGTGCAGAGACCCAACTCCTCGAGTTTGGTCTGATGGCATGGCAGCCATGTCTTTTCATTTGGCGCTATTAGCAGTTCTGGGTCTTCGCCCAACTGTCTGTTTGGATCGTTCGTCTTCGTCTTGACGTGCTGTTCTTTTGTTTTCTGAACGTGGGTTGTGATCTCTTCGGTTTTTCGCGTGTCTGGAGCAGCTTTGTGCTGTCCCATGATACAATCTGTTTGTTGGTATCTGAAAGATTAATCAGGAAAAAGAAAAAGGGGGAGATAACTTGGCAAGTACGTTTATTTTCGGTTAGAAAATGAAGTTTCTCATTGTCATTTTTTACTCGCTGCTATTGGGCTGACGGAGTTTGCCCTTTAACGTGGTGCGTCCATGCATAGATATGGAATTGAGTGTCCTTTTGGTTGTGATGGATTTTATGGTTATTGGGCCGTCCATGTTAGGCTAACTCAGCCCGTAATTCAAAAAGGCCCACAATTTACAAGAAAGAAATAACCTACGTAAGGTAGTTATCGTGGGTTATTTTCTTAAGTGGGGAAAAAATGTGTTTTTCCAAGGAGAATGAAAAATAGAAGTGTCTGTGTTCCAAAAACAGAACGAAGAAGAAAAACACTCTCGCTCACTAAGCCAAAGAAGTGCTTGCTCTCTCTCTCACAACGATGCAATAAGTGCATTTAATATGTGGAAAACAAAGGTAAGTTCTGCTGTGCAACGTATCTTCCGATCAGTGATTCTGGGCATGTTGTCCGCGCTTTCTCGTTTATGTAAACGTTCTTGGGTTCGTTTCTTGTATGCGGTTTGTGCATTGCTCGATAGCTCAAGATATGTAATTAGGAATTTGTTGTTCTATCAATGGTATCAGAGCAATGTTCTTGTTTCCTTATCGTTGAGCATGTTTAATAAGCAACTCTGGAAATCGCAAAACAGCATCGACGAACGCTCGGGTACGAAAAAGACACTCGACTGTACTGTTCAGGGTCGCTTCTTGATGTTCCATGAAATGAAAATCGTTTTTGAATATGTAGGGTTGTAGTTCTCATCGAGACTTCGAGACAAGAAAATCAAGTGGTGGTGCACCACCGGAGGAGGCCGGATGCGCCCCCATGCGCGGCCGGAAGAAGCGGCACACGCATGTCACGCACGCACTAGCAAATATCGCGCGCGCGTGCGCGGCACGCGCCACATGTGCGCGTGTAGACGTGGCTGACGCCACGCTGACGTCAGCCATGCCGGTTATCTAATCGGGTTGATCGACCCGACCCGGCCAACCCGACCTGGTTGACCGACCCGACCCAATTGACTCACCCGTTGACTGTTGACCGAATTTCAAAAAAAAAAATTTATCCGCACATATGGTTGCATGGGAGCTCCGTTTGTAACGTTCTTGGTAACAATGTGTGCATTTTGGAATGCCTATAGTGATATTATGTGGATTATGAGTAATCCTTATTTGTTCTGCATTTGTTGCAGGAAAAATGTCACGTCATTTCATTCCCATGCCTAACTTCGTGAGAACGGATGAACAAACGGAGAGACTCGCTAGGCTAAGAGCTGAGTTGGCTGCCTATCGATGGGATGAATGTGACTTGGTGAAACACCTCATGAAAGTCAATGAGATGATACAGAATGTCATCTGGAACGGTTACCATATGTCTAACAGCGAGATGATTGATGCCCTGAGAAGCACTCTCCCATATGAATGGCGAGATGTGATGGATGATTTATGGAAAGCCCCGGAAATCGAAGTGGTGGACGGTGAATGGGAAAGTGGTGAAATCCCTGTTGTTCCGAAGTATAAACAACTTGCGGTGAATTTTTTGAAAGAATACATAAGGGTTGGGGCAGCGAAGACGTCAACTCTTGGCATGAATTCTTCTTGGCGCAGAATGAATGCGCCATGGAGGAATCATAAGGGTTTTCCAAGAGCCTATCCATGGCTGCCCAATGTGACCTTAGAATTTTCTGAGGATTTTTCTAAGGAGTTTGATAAGTCCTTCCCGGTGGATTAGATAGATGAGCGGCTTTGATTTCATTTATTTTATTTTAGGCTAGTTTTAAATATCTTAGGTGGATATTTCTTTCGTTGTTGATATTACCTTGTTCTTATGCTGGATTCGTACCTTTTATAAATGGAGTTTAGTTAATAAATGTTGAATGTCAGTATTTGCTACTATTATTATTACTTTATTTACATTTCTTGTGGGAAGTTCAAGGAAGTTTTAGTGACTTTAAGGAACTTAATTTTGCATAAATAATTATATTAATGATAATTCCAAATAAGAATGTTTTAGATGATGATTGGAAACAAAGTGACATTTCGACTCTTAAACCTTATTTGGGGTTTAGTCATTAATACGATTAGTTTATGCAAAACAGATGCATAAATATTAGGCATTAATAATTCGTGCATATATGTCTGAAATGTTCAGATACATTGGCTTCAGCATCTAAGAATATAGTGGCTGAGTTGAACAAAGGAGAGAAATTGAACGGCAAGAATAATGAGATATAGAATATGAAAATTCAATATGTGTTAGAAGAACAAGAAGCACTCGAAGCTCGAAACCAAGTTATGGAAGAGCCTGAAGAAAGCCTGAAGATGGTAATACTGCACAATATAAAAGGGATAAGGATGTTTTTGCTGCTTGAAAGAAGAAGAACTATGTAGCTCGCATTACATTGCTGAATAGCATGGAGAATGATATCATACGGGAGTTCAGGCGTTTTCATAATGCCAATGATATGTGAGCAGCATTGGCAGCAAGATTTGGTCAAACTGAGACAACTCACGATAAGGTTTGACTCATATAAAATGTTTCATGGATAAACCATGATACAACATCTGATACGTATGTCAAACATGATAAGTAAGCTAAAGGATGTTGGCCACATACTGACTGATGAGTAGCAAGTGCAAGCAGTGATTCGTTCTTTGCCTCATAGCTGGGAGCATATGAAAGTCCACCTAACCCATAATGAAAATATTAAGACTTTTGAAGATGCTATGCGCTATCTTGAGCTAGAAGAGGACCGCCTTCTGGCGGCTAAACCAGAATCTGACATTTATTTTGCTAGTTCTAACTCACATAGGGCTTCGGGCTCCAAGCGCAAGCGTCTAGGTGGTTTCAAAAGGTGGAAGGCCAAGGGAGTGAACTCTTTAGGTAAGAAACCGAAGCTCAACCAACATGAGAAAGGAAAACGTTCTTTCAAGAAGAACATTTCAAAGGTGAAGTGTTTCAACTGTGGCAAGAAGGGTTATTTCGCTCGCGACTATGGCAAGCCAAAGAAGATAGAAACCCTTAGTATACTTAAGAGTGTTACTTATGTATCTAGTTTTGTTTTTCTAACTGAATCTCATCTTTTGTAGACTGTAGACTCAGGGGCCACAGACCATGTAGCAAAGGACAAAGATGCCTTCGTGGAGTTCCGATGAGTTCCACAAGGAGCGAGGTGGATATATGTGGGGAACAATTCCAGAGTAAAAGTGAAAGGGATTGGCACCTGCCAATTGAACACGCGTGGTGGTCTCACATTGTTCCTCCATGATGTATTATATGCTTTAGAAATTCATCGTAATTTAGTTTGTGTTGGTTTTATTTTAAACTTTCATAACAATGGTGTTGACTTGTATTTAGGAACAAGTTTATATGGTTCTGGATGGTTTTATTGTGTTGGATGTTAACTACAGTAATGTTAATGTTTGTTATTCCTTATTCACATCTCCTAACTCTTATGATAATGATGTGAATGTATGGCATGCTAGATTTGGTCATATAAGCCAACAACGAATGAATAGATTAGCCAAAGAGGGCTTATTGGGCAATATTGAAAAAATTGATTTGCCTATTTGCGAGTATTGCCTAGCAGAAAAACAACACGAAAACCATTTGGAAAAGAAACAAGAGCTGAGTTTCCTTTGAAATTAATCCATTCAGGCATCTATGGTCCAATGAATGTAAGAGCAAGGCATGGGGTTGTATACTTCATCACATTTGTAGATGATTACACTCAACTCGGACATGTCTATTTGATTTCTCATAAATCTGAGATATTAAGTTGCTTTAAGAAATTTATGAGCTTGGTAAAAAATCAATTAAATAAGAAAATAAAAGCATTAAGATCTGATCGAGGTCGAAAATATTTATCTGATGAGTTCAAAAATTTATGTGATGAAAAAGGAATAGAAAGACATTTGTCTATTTCATACGCTGCTCAACAAAATGGCGTTGCAGAAAGGAGAAACAGAACTCTACTAGAAATGGTTAGGTCTATGATGGCACAAGCTCCCTTACCAATCACTTTTTGGGGTGATGCTTTGTTAACTACTGTCTATATAGTTAACCGTGTGTTTTCTAAATCAATTACTTCTACTCCATATGAGTTATGGACAGGTAGAAAGCCTGATTTAAGTTTTCTTAAATCTTAGGGATGTGCTACCTATACTCACAAACCCTTCCACAAATATGGAAAATTGGGTCCTAGAGGCAAAAAGAGTATTTCCATAAGATACTCAGAATACTCGAAAGGGTATGTATTTATAGATGAGCAAGAAAGTGAAAGTATAACTGAATTCGAATCACGAGATGTCACATTCTTAGAGAATGATTTTCCTAAAAATAGCGAAATAAGTGAAGACTATTCCCTATTTGAAACCTTGGATTGTGATAATGAAATTATGGGAAATATACCATCCTCTCATCCTAGTGGGAGCATTGTAAGAAAAGGGGGATTAAATGCGAACCAGTCTCAATTGCAACCACCTAATGAGACGATGTCACCATTATCTAATCCGAGTAGGAGCGAAATAGAGCACGATGATGTGCCAAGTGTACAATCTCACATACGACGAACAAGTCGCAAAAGCATTCCCCGTCGACATTTTGACATTGAATGGGAAGCTTTCATGGTCGCTCCGCAAGAAGAAGATGAGCCGAGGAATGCAAATAAGGCTCTAACATGCCCTAATAAGAAAAAATGGATGCAAGCAATGGAAGAAGAAATGGAGTCAATGAAATCCAACCGAGTTTGGGAATTAGTTGATCTTCTAAGAGGACGCAAAGCCATTAGGAACAAGTGGGTTCTCAAAATTAAGCGTAAGGTTGATCGCTCAATTGAAAGGTATAAAGCTCGCCCTGTGGCAAAAGGGTATAATCAAAATAAAGGAATTGATTACGAAGAAACCTTTTCTCCTGTGGTGAGATTTACCTTTACTCGTCTTATTCTGGCAATAGTAGCAAGTATGAATCTTGAATTACATCAAATGGATGTAAAGACTGATTTTCTCAATGGAGAATTAGAAGAATAAATTTATATGGAACAACCCGTTGGTTTTATTACAAAAGACCAAGACCAAAAGGCATATCGACTTTTAAAATCGATATGTGGCCTTAAGCAGTCTTTGAGGCAATGGTATATACGTTTTCATAATGCCATAATGGCATATGATTTTTCAATGATTGATGAAGATTATTGAGTATAATCAAAAGATCCAAAGATCAATTTGTGATCTTATCATTATATGTAGATGATATACTGATTGCTGTAAGCAATATGGAGTTTGTTAATACTATTAAGAATTGGTTATCTTCCAATTTGGAAATGAAAGATATGGATGAAGCTGCATATATTCTTGAAGTTAAGATTTCAAGGAATCATTCAAAGAGATCATTGTCTCTTTCGCAAGAAACGTCTATAAACAAAATTCTTGAACAATTTCGTATTCAAGATTGCAAACCCATAGATACTCTTATTGCAAAAGGTGAAGGATTGAGCCATAGACTATTTCCTAAGACTCCACAAGAATAGGAACAAATGAAATGTGTTTCTTATGTTAGTGCTATTGGAAGCTTAATGTACGTTATGATGTGTACAAGACCTGATATATGTTTTGCAGATGGAATGGTAAGTAGATACCAATCCAATCCAGGTCAAGCACATTGGACAACTATCAAAAGAATCTTGAGGTATTTAAAGGGTACTGCTGATTATTCGTTAAGTTATCAAGGAAGGGATTTACGGCTTGAAGGCTATTCAAATATTGACTGGGGAGGAGATTTAGATGAAAGAAAATCTACTTCTGGATTCGTGTTCTTACTGAATAATAGCACTATATCTCGAAGTAGTAAGAAACAAACATATATAGCCTTATCCACGATGGAAGCCAAATTTGTGGCACTATCAGCAACAATATCACTTAGGTATTACTAAGAATGCTGCAAACTCATTGTTGGTTAATTGTGATAGCCAAGCAACGATAGCTTACACCAAGGATCCCAAATTTCATTGCAAGATCAAACATATAGATACTAAGTATAACTTTGTAAAGGATATGGTTACACGAAAAGATGTGAACGTTCAGTACATACCAACGCGAAGAATGATAGCTGATCCTATGACGAAGCCAATTTCTAATGATGTTTTCCTTGGTCACGTAAAATTTCTGGGACTGCGTAGAGGTTAATGTACTAGACATTTGTATTTCCCTAGAAGTTCATGTTCAATGATATTTTTCTATCATTATTAATGCCTGAGTTTATTTGGCATTTATGCATATGCTTAGTGCATTACATTAAGAAAGTATGTCGAACAGATGAAAGATTAGCCCACTCACACGAATAATCGCCTCTATTTACTGTGTGATAAATAGGGATGAGACAATTTTAAGCTTTATCTAGGTGATAATTGAGGGCTTAAGCTTAAAATATAGAGTCGCCTTAACAGAGTGCTAAGATGAAGTCATAATATTTATTATGTCCAAAAGTAAAATAACCTACATATTTTACTTTATCTGTCTTTGAAGCCAGATGTGAGTTCTGATGGATTCTTTAAAGATAGTAGATTTGTGAACTCAAGTTAGACATTGCGAATGTCTGAACTATCGTCTATACGGTATTTAAATACAAAGACATGTGCCCAATGGGAAAGGAGTTAATACCGTAATAGTATTTCATACTACGTATGCATGAAACGATCAATAAGAATTGGCAAAAGTTTTGATCTCTACTTTTATGCCGTGTGAGATCCTTGAGGATAACAGTTCCTCAATCAAGTGCCCTCACGATTCTTACTTATTCTCAATTATTTCTA